ACACCTCAACCCGCCTCAAAGCCAACGCTGATTGGACGTTCGTTTGGTGAACGGCTCCAAATTTTCTTTAACGGAGAGTCTCCAGACTGATCTGCGAGTGAAACCTTGATCAGGATGGTCTTACGAGGCTACCCCCCCCACAGAAAAACAATAATGGGACAAAACTCACTCCATACCCTAAAACAGTCATTTCAGTTCGGTATGAAATAAAAGAGGAATTTTGTAAAAGCATGAAAGAGGATCTATGATGTCGTGAGCTTGTTTCGCCTCCATAGGATCCGAGATTTTTATTTTTATTTTTTTTGTTGGGGGGTTTGCGTAAATCATTACCAATAACTGTGCCACATGTGGTTTTTATTTAAAAATAATCCTGAATGCTGATGAGTAACTGTAGTAAAAACAAAGGTTTTTTCCATGGTTTCAGTGTTAGGATACGCTAACGCGATAAAAGACTCGTTAGGACGCCTTTACAGGAGATCCCAACGACTCGTACGTAAACCCGATTCTTCCTCCTGAACTCTAAACTGAATTAGCAGAGAAAAAAAAAAAGGGCAGAACAGAAATGCAAACTGATCCATGATGAAGAGGAGCTTCCTCCTGCCGATTCCTTTGGCCTTGCTAATGAGCCTGAGGCGCCGTCTCTTCCCATTCCCATCCAGCGGATTGTTAGCGGTGCTAACTGGTGTGCGGGTAATCCCGTGTTCTTCTCTCCTCTGATCGGCGGTAGGCTTTTAACCGTTCAGGAGGTAGACCACCAGCTCATAGGTGCACATCATGATGGCGGTGTTGGGGATCTGGCGTACCAGGTGGGTGGTGAGGCCGCGGTACAGGGCCCGGTAGCCCTCCTCTCTGGGAACTGTGGTTAGAGTCTGGAAAAAGGAGCAATACTTGGTGCCCTCCTCTCGTAGCCTGGTGCGAATTACCTCTGCAAATAGAAAATGCAAGGTTAAAAACAACCTTTGGCGTTTATTCAAGTGGCCAAAACATCTCTGACTCTCACCATGAGGATAAGCAATAGATGTGGCACAAGTCTTAGAAGTGGCGGCGGCGAGCATCATCCCGAAAAAGTCCCAAGCGTCTTTTGATGCGTCCTCTTCCTCCTCCATGTTCTGTGGCGTTTTGGCCACCAGGAGGCGCCGCTTAATGTTTTCATAGATAACAAAGTGGATCACAGTCTCTGAGATGCCGGCGTAGGACGCAGACATTCCCCTGTAGAAGCCCCGCAGGCCGTCCGCTTTATAAACACGACGGACGCAATCCAACGCGCTCATCCTTCGCTCCCCTCGGTTCCTGAAAACGGAAAAAACACAAACGGGAGGATCAGAGGCAGCGAGACGAGGAAGAAACACCCAGAGGGTTCAGATCGGCATAAACGGAGACGAGTGAAAAACCGGTAGGAGTCGACATGGAGAAGATGAGCCGCAGGAGTCGTTTCCTCCTGACATGAAGCCAAACTTTTAGACTTTAGACAGATTTTATTTGTCATTTTGTTTACACAAAAAATAAAATTTTATTGGAAACAGATCACTCAAACTG